AAATATCTTATGTTCTACTTTGCCTTGCTTGAGGTGTCTCAGTTTGTAACGAAAATATACAATTCCAAAATGATTGCAATGCTGGCTCTGGAATATACTTCGCTAGTTGCTTCAAATCTTTCATTTTGCTTTCAAGAATTGGTAAGCTTGAAGTATAAACTAGTGTTTTTGGGAGTTGTATGGGCATTGCATTATTTTTTCTTAATTTGAAATGGTTTGATATTATTCCATCAATAAATTCACTTGCCTTAATTATTCCACATTTTTCCGATACACATTCAAAATAATGGTACTTAGAAATTAAAAATTTGTCTATTGTACGACGTTGTTTCGATGTTTTATTACGGCTTAAACATTCTAACGCGTTAGTATTTTTAATATAAAATTGTGAAAACCACATTTGATAGTCATAAATCATACTTTTATCAACTAGAAACACTGAAAATTTTTCTGGGTTTCTTGATGATTTTAAAATAATTTCTATATAGTCTTCTAAAGTGTATAGACGATCGACTCTGTTAAGTTATAGAAATATTTTGAAAAACGACTGTGCTCTGCAGTTAAAATATGGCAGGAGCAAACGAATTTCGTACAAATTCAGGTAAACGTACCATTTTTAATAAATTGCATCCAGGACTTGTAACAGTCAATTACAATCTATGAAATAATTATTTAAAAATTAAACATACAATAATCGTACTAAAAGCCACTAAAACAAATAGTATGTTTGATAATTTTATTTAACTTGAGACGCAATTCGTGTTTACTTAATTTTAAGTAAGATTGGAACGCATTAAGTTCTGTGTGAACGCAGCCTTTTGAAGTTTCAATTGTCATAGTACAATTTATAATGACAGGTACACTGCTCTATGTTTAAGAACACAAAAATATAGGCAATAAAATATTGATACCTACAGGATTGTCCGTGTTTTCTAGTTTTTACATATATTATACCAAATAATGAGAAAACTGTAAATGCTATTCGTCATGTTCTTAAACATTTACTATAAATATTCAATAAATGAGTACAAACTAATGAAATGGAAAATCACTACTGCCTCTTGGATATAAAAAAAACAAATGGTACATTCATCGCTTCTCTTAGTTTCACAGCGATTTATGTCCCGTTTCGTCTGCCACATTTTTAAAAATAAATTAGCTTAGATAAGAATAGCTATAAACGGAGGTTGTAATTCATCGCATTTTCAACCACAAATCGCAAAATCGAAAATTTTCTATGGACTTCAAATGGTACCAGACTAAACAAACAATGGAATATAATGTTTAATCTTTAATATAATGAGTAAAAACAAAACATATAGCTGTATACTGAGTGAAAAAATCTTGTATCTACAGGCTATAATAAGTAATAAACTAATAACTAATAACAAATAGGTTCATAGATTTTAACAGATAACTTAGGTAGGTACAATTAAACAATAATTATTCAATAGGTTAAGGTTAAACATTTGTTTAGGTATCAATTGCAGAAAAGAGAAAAAATCTTAAACTTTAGAAAATCAAAATAATTTTAGTTGTAAACTAATATCGGTATTTTACAAAATGGATAATTTTGTTATACCTACCGGTAGGTATGTATTGGAAATTATTTCCCGGATATACAACGACATCCGTCCTCAAAGGAAATACATGATAACACTCCGTGTCTGCTACGTCTCGTTTGTTATTAAAAAATTATCAAATACGAGTACCTCGTAAAGTAAAGCCTCAAATCAAATACAGGTTCACACGATTTATCAAATAATTATAATAGTTATTTAATTAAAATGTATTATAATATTGGAAACGTCAGTTTATAGCTCAGGCACGTGCAAAAACAGATTTTCTTGGCGCAAAGGACGCTGCTGTTGAGTGCACAAAGTATTGTTTGGACGGCAACAGGATTTCGGTGGTCGCCATGGCAACACGGGAGGCCCAATGAACCCGCGTGTGCTGCCAGACAGGGTTATAGGACGAGTAGAAGGTGCAGTCACGTTAAAAGCGTAGATCGATGAGAGGGATACATACGTAACACTAATATTTAATAATTATTTCTGAAATTACACATACTTTTCTGTTATAGTATTAACTACAAACTAATAATCTAAAATTATTGTGAATATTGACGCTGTACATAATTTTATTTCTAGAAAATGTTTGGTAACTTGTTTATACATACCTTAGTTGTTTTTTAGAACACAATTCATTATTATAAGTTATAATTGGGATTAAACGCAACAATAATCAATAACAATTATTTATTTTGTTAGACAACATCGGTTACTTTTAATTACCACACAATTATAGGTATTAATAGATATTTTAATTATTATTTAGTAACTAATACTATTATACTAGCAACTATCTCATACTGCCAGTAATTTTCAATGGATTTCATCATTTATGATACATTTTCTTTATATACTGATTAAATGAAATTTGTTCAATACCGAGAATAATGACTAGAGTAATAATTATACTCGGAATCTTAGAAGATGGTGCATGATTTTATGTGACAAAAAATTTTACGAACAGAAATGTGTTTCTCATTCAAGAATCGAATAAGAGTTAATTTATTTTAATTATTATTTATGATAAGTAAAATTAATAATATATTCTATAGTCCAAAGTAGGTACCTACATAATAGAGGATCACCAAAATATATATATTGTATATTTAGTTTATGTACCGTTCTATCAACATTAAATACTAATTTAAAGATTTTATCCACTATTTTTAATAATGGATATGTATTTAAAAAAAAAGAATCATAAGACATTTTAATCGCTATTATATATTGTTTAACAATATGACATATTTTTATTACGAGTATTTTTGGATTAACGTCGTATGTTTTTTACACTTATATAAATTGTGTAATTATTTAAAAAAAAATATATATATATATTATATATTTAATAAAAAAGTTCTATTCTGGTCTATTTCAAAAATACGAACATTCATAATATTTATTTTACTGATAACTTATCAGAAAAATAGTTTAAAGATATAGTTTCTTCCTTTCGTTGCTCCCTGACTTATACTTACATATGATATTTAATATACCATTTAAAATACGTTTAGGTGCCTATTGAAATAATTAACAAAAGTATTTAGGTAAATACATTTTTAAATAAAGATAAAGCCATGCTTTAATTATTGTATTGTAAATAAAAAATGATATTATATCGGGATACAACATTTACACACGCATTTTCCTTTGAAACAGCCGTTCTGAAAAAGCCTTGGTACGCAGTATGTTAGATAATATTGTACTAAATAAAGGTTAAAAAAGAAACCTTGGTACCTATTTAATAGTAAGTTGTGATAGACAACGAAGGTAGAGCCGATAAGACAGATATCCTTTGACTATTATGTAGTCTCTAGTCAGTAGTCTACAATGATTATTTCATGACTTGATGTTAGTACCCATGTACAATACATTTTTATAAAATAAAAGAATACTACTAGAAAAACCTATAGTGAAACGATTTGTTCCCATTATAATAATTAAATATTATTAGGTAATACCTCGGGTAATACGGTTCTTTTTAACAGCTACAAAACTATAGAGAGGTTAAATTCGATTAACCCGAATAATTGAGATTTTAATGAACATTAAATAAATTATAAGAATGTTTTACAAATAAATATGATAGTGAATATTTTTTGTACATCATGATCATGAAAAATCAACATAAATGAATTATCAGAATAATTATGTTCTTATTATAATAAGCATATTATAATATTAATAATATTATTATGAATAGGTACTTAAAATTTGTAAGGCTTTGGAGTTCGAATAATGTTAAGTAATCTTCTGAATAATAATTTATATAATTGTATGAGGTGCTTACATTGTTATAAAACCACTGAATGAATTAATATCAGATAAAAATATGAATTATACTATACCTATATCCGATTCACAATACGTCACAATCAATCATTGGATATATCGATATATAATACATAATAAATAATATAAGGATATGCAAGTATATAATACGTATAATAAAGGGCTTATTATCATCACTATTGTCTTCAAAGATGAAATTAATAATAAATAAACAATTTGTTTTCAATCTACAAATAAAAACATTTTTTACTTATTTGGGCTATTGATTAAATCATTTTTTTTAAATTTAAATATTAAATGTAATTTAAAAAATTAGAACTAGGCCATACGAAATTTCTATTCTAGCACAATTTAAATAATATATTGTAAAAGTACAGATCGTAAAATGAAATATTCAAACTTTTTTATGAAACGGAATTCAAATTCCCTAGAAAATTCTAGTCGGGAATAGTTGCTTATAACAACTGTGGTTTTTAAAAGTAAATTTAGATTTCCATAAATATTATTCCAATAGTTCCAAGAATAACCAATAGATATAACAAGTAGTTGCGTAGGTACTTGCGTATCGATGCGTAAGTCATGGTATTTAATAAGATCTGAATAAGATCCTACCTCGGATCCTACTGATATAGGTTTATTTCGAGATGCGACGAAAAGAGTACCTATACGAGAATCTACAATTAATGTCTACTATACGACAATGATGTGCATTAGAACAGAACGCCCCCATTTCGACAACGTCCATGACTCATTCCTTCACCCCCGTTCATTGTGCGCACAAAAGGGACTTCCTGTCGGTACGGGCGTAAAAAATTAAATCAAACAATTTTATTTTACTAGTCTATCAAGCTAGGTGGTAGTAAAGATTTTTGTAACAAGAGTAGTCGATTACAGTACATACACGTCAATATTGTAGGCACCTATAGGTTTTTCAAACATTTGTAAATACCTACCAATATATATGAAACATTACGGTACAGAGTTCTTTACAACACAATATTTAAGTGTCGAGTTTATAAGTACTAAGGTAGTAAACTGACTAGGTATATACAGTAGAATATAGTTTGTTGACTCTCGTTCGTATTTCATGGACATAACTTATACAAAAAATATCACTAGTAACAGAATAAAACTCACCCTTTGTGGCGAATGTAAAGATAAGGGCCAGCAGAAGCTTTCCGCAAGACCCCATCTTAAGGATTCTGCACGCCACTCGAGTCGAGATGGCAAACTTCGATCACAAGTTTATTTTTCGACACAAACCAACTATCCAATAAAATTCACCAAGTTGAAAAACGCACAATATAAATTATATTATGAAGAAAAACAATAACATGCACCACACAAATGAAACGCGTAGGAAACACAACGCAGAAACGCGAGACACCGCGAACACCCAAACACGGACTGCCGGTATGAAGGCTCAAGCCATTACCACTACACTCGAGCGGCGGGCGCGGTGACGAACGGATTCGCAGTGTGGCCACCAGCACGGTGTATGGATGTGTACACATTTTTAATTTTAATATTATAAAATTATTTTATAATAACTAATACAAATATGCCTTGTTTGAACTTTGAGTTAGCCATACCTACTACTCAGTAGTCAGTACTCAGTACCCGGGCTACTCTTAATAGTAAGCGTCTACGAGTCTACGACTCAAGGCGTATGTAATATGTATACCTGATTACTTATATTTACGTATATTTTACGCTAATAACGAAGTCTGCCTATTTGCCATTCCTAAAAAAAAAAAGTTAGATAGATAGTCAGATAATATTATATTATGTATATATAAATTATATAACAAGATTTAAGCCACTATGCATGAATCCGTATCTATATCGACTAAAACTATGTTTTAGGTACCTAATCATTTATTTTAGCTTTTTTATTGCTGTTTCACATATTGAAAGCATTTGGCAAACGACAGATGGTTTATGGATAAACTATCTTATAAATTATAATCCATGAATTGTATTACAAACATACTTGGATTCTTCAATATCTATAGGTATCTTTTATATATGTCAGTTATAATATAATTAACATTTGAAATTTTTTTTAGCTTATAAAAATAAATCTAAACGAAAGTAATCATTATCAACTTCACTAACTTGTTTTTTATCGCTAAATTATATTTATTTAAACTTTAATATTATATTATATAAATCCTTATGTAAGTAATAGTGCTAAAAAACTTCAAAGGATGTTTATTTTTAAAAATATATCAAGTTTTTGAACTATTAGTTATACAACTCTATATTCTTAAATCATCTAGGTATTAACTGTAGTCTATAAAGGTTTTTTGCCCAACATTGACCATCGGCCAACGATACCACTACTATAGACATACTTATTATGTATTACTCAGATACGACTGCAGCAGTTATACTATTTGTATCGTGCGCATTCATTCATACATAATTTAAGACGGGTGATACCTTGAATATAAATTGGTGGTATGTCACCAATAAAAGGTACCTAAATAGTGACCATACTACTTATATTAAGTTTTTACTGTAATACCTACAATACCTCTTGTTTTTAGTTTTACTGCCAAGTCTGAATTTCCTAAACAATTTAAATTTTAGTACCTACACAGTACACTGGATATACTCGTAATACTGTACAGCCGTACAGGTAATATCTGGTAACAATTTAAGCATGTATAATTGTATACTTATCATAAGCGTATAAGCATAATAAGGTAGGTTAGCTTATTAACTACAACAGACAACAATTTAACAGACAACTGCTAATTGTAGACTGAAGTTAAACATTTCGGTAACAATGTCATAAGAGAAAATAATTTTGTAACTTTTCAATAATATGTCTATAAAGTATCTACCAAATTACCCATAAATACCGGAAATAAAGCTGTTGATTTTAATTTTACTCTTAATTGAGATTTTATTTCCGTTATTTTAATAACACCAACAATTCTTATGAGTTATGATTATTGTTAAAAGTAGAAAATGTTTTTAAAATAATTCAAATACTTAAAATTTTCGTTGAATATATTATACATTAATTTATATTATAGACAAGTGGCGTGATTACAGGGGGAGGGGGCAAAGTTATCATTCCTTCCCCCAGACAAACCTACAATACAAATCTTTGAATATTCTTAAGCCAAGAAAAAATGTAATATATTCTTTATGTTACTCTATTTATTTATATATTCTTTATTATAAATATAATATATTTAACATAATATTATAATATTAAAATACTTTTTTCCTTAAACTATTTCATAAAAGTTTATATTTATTTATTTGCTTATTTGTTTATTTATTTATCTATTTGTTTCTCTTGTTGTATCATTTATTAATATTATAAATCTGTTGACGAATCGTTAATAATCAATGAAATAGTTGAACATATTTGAAGGGCCAACCTCACGGGCACGTCAATGTTATCTCAGTACTAATCGCATTGAATAAAGTCTTTAAATTATTCGTTGATTATTATTTATTTTTCATCAAATATAAAATATGTGTGAATAATATTTATTGGAAGTTAATTTTTAAACTAATTATAGCAACTTTTTATAAATGAATTCTTTACTTTTATGTAAGTTCTTAATACTATTTAACAAATGGATACGAAATACGAAGTATTCACTGTTCTGCTACCTAGAATTTGTTTCAAGACTATAAAATGAGTTTTAAGACTAACCCGTGGCGGTGAGGAGGGTCATCTTACAGCTAAGGGTTATAATTTTGGTGCATAAATTATTTTGCCCAACTAGATTTTACTTAAGTTACGCCACTAGTAATATATGATTACATAATGTTTGATATGGCACTTACTTTCGAGTAAAGAGTATTACATTTTTATAAGCACCTAAAATGCTACTATTTCTTAATACTTTAATTTGGATTTTATAAATTGATCTACGTACCTCTAGTATTTACACATTATATAATATATTAACACTTAAGTAAGTTCAATAAATTCTACATATCTTATATCTAACGCCAGTAATAATATAGTTGTAGTTGCATATATCCTATGGGAGTATATTTTCCGCTGCAACAAATCTTTGAATAATAATCTGATGTCTAAAATTCAAAATTTCTTAATGTTTTTTTTTTATCAGTGGAAACCTTTTTAGTGTCCACTTTTATTGTGGAATTCTTGCTTTGTTTCAATACCTAGTTTCAATGCCACATCCTGTAAAATGATTTTTTGCAACAATTATAAATAATAATAATATTCGTTTAATTCAAAACATATTTTCAATGTGTCAAAAGTTTTTTAAAATAACAGATCAACCAGATTTTTAAATTGCAGTGAGACGAGATGAATCGTATTGAGTTATAAACTATTACAGATGACATTATTAGGCTTATTGGATGAAAGTTTAAATATCATGTGCGTTCGGCATCAAGTCGAGTGTGGTATTTCATTTTTGTCGATACTTTAATACTCCATACATAAATTGAGAACCCCGTTTCACTATTACGAATTACGATTACGTCGTAATTAATCGTGCGTTATCAACCATAAACATTATCTTGCTAGAGTTCAAGATTCAATTATATCGGTCAAATACTAAAACTGACTATTATATTGTGAGAGGTCAGTGAGTCAACATACGATTAAAAATATGTTTAAAAATAATCAAAATGTGAGTATATCATTAGTTAGATTAATTATTGAGGTAATTTTCTTGGATGTTTTAACTTTGCGTTAGATGATAATATTATATTGACACTTTGCACTCACCTCACGTAATCCTTGAAAACAGTTTCGGACTACAGAGTAGAGGACGTAAAGGGTTGCAGGTTTTCCTAAGATTTCAGGAAAAATTTAATTTCTTTTAGTGTTCTTTTAAAATAAAGTACCCAAGGGCTAAGACATAACAATGTACTATCATTTATTGTAATTTGTTTAAAAGTTGTTGCTTCAAACGCCTAAAAATATGTTGTATATTATAATTATAGCCATTGCATCTATACATAATCAACTTATGAGAGGTCCGAGATAAGTCTTCACTATTTAACAACTCATTATCAGCCCTAACCCCCACCTACCTCTTCAAAAATCAAAGTTCTATCTACGGCACTGAGACAACGCATTTATAGCTGTGTATACACATTTGACAAGATTCCGCTATATAATATAACGGGTCATGTAGATTTGAATATAGTCAATTTGGGGTTAAGTGTTACGGTTACCAATATGTTGCTACCTACTTATTAATTATCAAATATAAACGGAACGCATAAAGTTTAGTGGAAACTTAACTTATTGAAAACCATATATGAATATCAGTTGCTTCGAACAAGGTAGCTAAAAATTCGATAAACGTGATGCAAGTTAAGTTGCAGTAAGTGTGTAAAGTTTGTTCTAAGAAAACGCTGTCGTCGTCGTCCATTTGTAAGCATCCGTCGTGCCCCCCGAACTTCGATTAAACCGTTTTCATATTGTCGCCCGCGATTGCGTTGGTATTAATTTGCTAGGATATAAATTTGAGATTGAGACAAGTTGATTGATTTTAATAATTATTTTCAATATATTTCATTAAAGACATCAAGTCGCTGTTCTTGAAAACAATAAGAAATACCTATTTCCTATATTGATGTTTAGAATTTTAGATGCAAGCTATATTAGTACAAATTAATACATCTAGTACAATATGATATTTGAATTCATACTTAAGCTATATTAGTACAAATTATTATCTGATAACACATATTGTGGTTGTGTTATCATTTGTTTGTTTATTGCATTATGCCATTACCTACAATTAAAATGTGTGTTAACATATTAAAAAATAGACATAGTGCACTATGTAGTTGGTACTTCAAAATTTCTAGAAAAAAGTATTATATTGTTTATTATTTTGATATAATTCGTATACAAAATACAGTTATTTCTAATGGTTTATTTGAGATTTATAAAATAATAGCTGACCTTACACACCGTAGCCCGTGACAAATATTTTATGTCCGTTAAATCCGTTGAATGTAAACTTCAATACTCCTAACACAGTAATTTGGGTGGTTCAGATCAAATATAAAATAACCACGGGTTCTAAAATGATATACAATCTTAATAACTATTTTATTTATATAACCAATAGCAACTGAGCTACAGGCCTACTTTGGGGAGGGCTAGACGCCCTGCAGACCTCGGGCCCGAACTAATTAGGGCCCCATATATAACTGTAATACAGTTATATTATACGATTTATTTATACCAATAAACATTACATTTTAATTTATAGACTGATGGTACAATTTATTTATAATCTTGAACAATAATTTGAATACATATAACAATTTAAAAATGGAATTTATAATTTAAGCCTTAGATTGGCACCTTTAACTTTACTACAAGTATAGCTACATTAAAAATCTGAAGTATCAGGCATTCTGACGATTGATTACTATTTATTTAGGC